AATTTTTTATCGTGCGCGTTTATAATGCGTGTGTATGTGGGTCGCCTGCTATATCTAGTGTTGAGAGATCTACGTTGGGTAGCGTGTGCTGAGTACTCGCTTTCCAACAAGCTGTAGTGCGTCGCGTCGCGCCCAAGTGAATTGTACATGCAGCGTAGTCCCAGGAGACTTCCTGTTCTGTTAGAAAGTCGTGTCCCAGGAGTACGTCACAGTACAGATTCTCTAAGATAACAGCCGTAAACTTTACTTGTAGATCCGCAATTTTTGTTATAAAAGTGGCTGTGCCGGCCGTGTCTGTTGTGTGGCCGTCAGCTAATCTAACTGGGGGTGTTTGTCCGTTGTGCACAATTCCGAATTTGTGAGCTGTTGCTCGAGTGGTATACGATTTTTGCGCCTGAGAGTCAAGTAAGGCCGTCACAAAACCGTTGTCAAATTCCAACTCCACAGCGGGAGTAGTAATTTTACGCGGGTGTGTTTGTGCGGCAATACTCAGGTGGTTATCGGTTCGAACGGGGAGCGTTGAAACGGTTTGTTCGCCGGCAGTATTAATTGCCATAAGCGGGTAGGCCGTTCCTGCCGTATTCCCCTCCCCCACGGTGACCAACATATCGTTGGCCCGACTCGCGCTATAGTCGTTACCTATTACGTCTACGAACGCGTGACAACTATTTCGAATAATCTTATGATCCTCATTGTGGATGAGGGGTGTGGTGGTGGTGAGGTGTGGTGCTACAGCGTGCCCACTATAATGACAGTGGGGCTGTAGAGGTGTTGGTGAAGGTGGTATGATAGAAATGTGAATAAGATTATTCAAAATAGAGTCATTTTGTTCGCAGAAAGCGCATCCGTTTTTGCTACCCGAGTTGACTGAACGGGCGGTTTGGTCGGCGCGCTGATTAGTGTGATGATGTTTTGAGCGGAATTGTGTTTGTGAGCCCGGAGAATGGACTAGTTTCTCCGTGGCTGTTGTCCGTTTCCCGGCACTGTCGGTCTGTTAGGACATTCGCTTTGCCAGTGATCGGCTCCGCAAAAGCGACAGGGTCGGGGGGGACGCGGATCGGGCGGTGCGTTTGGCCGAGGTCGCGTTCTTTGCGGTTGTTGCGAAGGTGATATGGCAGCCACGTACGGATTAGCGTTATTAATAAGTCTGCCCGTACGTATCGGTCGGTCTAGATCGTTCGCGATTACGCGTAAGTCATCTAAGGTACGCGGACATCGCATTCTTACGTTACCGTAATATTCGTTACGTAACAGACTGACTACCCGATCTACAATGTGCTGCTCAGAGCAACTGGGGCGAGCGCGCATCGCTAGACGTTGTTTATTTATGATAAATTCAGTCATGCGATGATGTGGCCCCTGTTGCGTCGTCATGAGTTCGTTTTCTAATTCAGCTTGTATGCTGTTGTTATCGAACGTCGTGAGAAATTCCCTCGCAAATTGTCGCCAGGACATGTTGTTTAACTTGATGGTTTCCCACCAAGTTAATGCCATGCCCTTTAAAAATTGTACGCCCGTTTTTACCCATAAATCGCGATCTATGCCTGCTTGGGCCAATAGGTTTTCTACCTGTTCTAGAAACTCGCGTGGGTCCTCCTCATATTTTCCCGTAAACTCGGGGGAAGGGGGTCGTACAATAGGCGAATAATTAAGTGGCCCGATCGCCGTGTGCGTGTGCGAACGGGTCGATGATGATGGGGACAAATCGCGTGTCGGTGGCACGAATGTGTTCGGCTCGAAGTGCCCCGTGTGGTGTGGGCGCGCGTCTAAGTTGAAAACCGCGTCGTGCGTGTTCGCTCGAAGAAGCGATGGTGACGTGCGCGGAGTCTGACTGGCTAATCGCTGTAGGTTAAGCGCTTCGCGCTCCTCGATTTCAGTCAGGCGCTGCTGTAGGGCCGCGTCATTTTGAGTCGNTCTGTAGGGCCGCGTCATTTTGATTCGTGTTGCTGGGCCCAAAAGTTACGCGGCTCGGTTCGGACAGATGCGCGTAAGTAGAACGGTTGGTTTCCGTCGTTTCTCGCGTCATCTGTGCGGTGGCGAACGGATTAGGTATAGTCTCGTTGTGTGTATCGCGGCTTACAATCGTTTGTGAGAGAGATCGTATTTCTTGCGTAATGCGAGACAGTGCTCTCTCCACTTCAGACATGCGCGCATCCATACGTGTATTAAGAGANCGCGCGCATCCATGCGTGTATTAAGAGATATATCGCGTAAACTTTGTTTTACTGCGCCTATCTCCTCCGTTGCGTGGGATATTGAACGCACCGTATACAAGTCATCGGTATACGCTGCGTTCACACTACCATTAGGACGGCCGGTTGCCAGAGACCATTCGTGTAGATTCCTCTTCAGGGTCCTCTCGCGCCATGTTAACCGGTCGGTCCGCGTATGTGGTTGGGTCGACGGTCCGGCATAACGCGGGGACTTCGTCTACCTGAGACTCGCGTTCCGTCGCGAGCGTCTCGTAATGAAGCGGCGGGCGTTCGGGCAGAATCGCGTTCGATGGGTCTAGCCCCTCACTGCGTAAACTATTCTCCAAGACTGCCAGCATATCGCTTTTTGTCGTGGGGCCGTTTAACTGCCTATAAGCGCATTCGCGCAATAATTCCCGACGGTTCATTTGGGAGAGAGTTTTACCCGTCATAGTGAACGTTCCTTACCGTATTTATCGAAAATAAACAAAAATAAATAAATTAACGCACGCGCTTATTTGTTTTTGTTATTTAGAAATACGATATCGCCGATCGCGAGAATACGCGCCGTGTGTTCGCGTATGAACGTCGACAATGACGGCCGTTTGTATTATTATTATTATTATTATTATTATTATTATTATTATTATTATTGTGATTGTAACAATACTGCAATATTTTGTTGATAGTGGTGTGCTATAGCAAATGAGAATGGGAAATGAGATTATTACGATAGCAGTCGTAAAATGATTGTGGAGATCGGAAATAATAATACAAACGATTTTATGGGACCCGGTTATTAAATGTAACGATCGCTGTGGTATGATAACGTGTATGATTACCCTACTTGCTTAGCGGTTTTATCGAAACACTTGTGTTCGCGGCGTTGTGCGACTCAAGGTCCGTCAGTGCGCGTGTATGTATAAATACGAAATCGCCAGAAATCCTCTTTTACCGTGTTTTAAAAATACACCGAAGGTGGCAATCTACTAATCGCGAGGTAGATAGTATTTATACGACCGAGTGGGAATTTCACTGCTGTCACCAGTGAAATAGAAGTTAAAAATACCCGTAGTACAGGAAGGTAAGGAAAATTTCGCTGTCTCTTTTAAATAAAATTCAAACGCCGTGGCCGTGTCACAATATATTAGTTGTTCAGATTTTGAATGTCATCTCGATCGGCCACTACAAGTAAATTGCGTAGTAATATTTTGACAATACAAGTAACTTCAACGTTAGATAGAACAAAAGTTTCTAACCATATTGCCACGCATATTTTGGCGGCTGCTTTAACTTTTACTGATAAAAATATTAATCATTTTTCTATAAGTAAAGATTCAATTCAGAGAGATTGTATTTCCAATCAACCAGATACTTTTTTAATGATTCACTGCGACGGGAAAATGTTGCCGTCAGAAAACAAAAAATATTGCGTTGAGCATTTAGCGATATTAGTTTCTGGCGATGTTAATACTAAACTTCTGGGAATGCCAAAGTTATTGAACCTACTGGTCAATCACAATACTGTTATTAAACAATTAGTTGATTGGAACTTGATTGAACGCATAAATATGATATGTTTTGATACTACAGCTTCTAACACTGGTAGACTTAACGGTGCATGTAGTTTAATCGAAAAACAACTAGATAAACAACTACTGTGTTATGTTTGTAGGCATCACATACAAGAGATAATCATAAGTAAAGTGTTTGGTACTTAACGCCTGCTTCAACTAGTCCAGACATAGTTCTATTAAAGATTTTCTAATAGCTTGGTGAATATAAATAAAAAATTATATAGTAATGTTTTGACAGATGCTATTGTATTTAATAAAAAATGAATTGTTTAATGAAAAAAATATATTTGAAAAGAATGTAAATGACAATCGTCATTTATTAAAGAATATCGTATATTTTAGCTTATTTATTAATTATAAAAAAAGGTATAAGTTTTTTAGATAAGTGGACAATTTTTTTTCTACTTATAATATACATAAATATCAGCAAAACGACATAAAAAGAAAAATTGAGCTTACTTGAAACTCATTAGAATTATACCATATAATGACGTTAAACACTTTGAGCCACCAGAAAATTTTTTTAAAAAATCTCAAATTTTCTCAAAATGCCTATATTAATATATAAAATAAAGTTAAAATGGTTATCATTAAAATTTTGAAGATCGACTTTTTTTTATCCACCCTAATGTTGTATATTATTACGCTATTGAACTGATTTGGTTCAACAATACGTAAGTAGATCACAAAACGTATCTAATCGAAGCTATTAACTCCATAATTTTAAAAATTCCTCTTGATACCTATAATAATGTAAAATGACCCAATTTTTAATTTTAATTTATTATTGTAATAACTTTTTGAAAACTGGAGGAACTATTTCAAAATATTTATTGATTATATTTCAGATGTTTGCCTTGTCGGCAACACACTGTTTTAGAGAAACTAATCATTCAATTATGGAGACTTAATTAAAAATCATGTCAACATTTTTTTCTGTTCAATTTTCGATAATGTTGCGAAAAAACAGCCTTCTTTAATGTACATTAATATGTAAATTAATTGAAAAAACAAGTATGCATCACGTCATAATTGTGTAATTAACTTTAAATCAACGACCAAAATCGTTGTTTCGTACAAGGCAGTTATACCATAGGACTCCTAGTTGTGTACCACCGCACTACACAGCCGTCCATCCGTAAGTTTGTTTACGATCATTATAGGAGTGAGAGAGAGGGGGCAACTGGTAGATGCCGGCTAACCGCATATCCAATAATTATAAAACAAATTTATAAAAAAATCTTCAATAAATATATTAAAAATTAATGTGATAGGGATGTTTTCTTATTACTAGTAGCCAGGGAAGAGGCATAAAACAAAATAGAAAGAATGTAAATTAAATAAGACAAACAATTAAAACTTATCTGTTTAACGTAGAATATAATGGCGAATAATGGCAGTGATAGACAACTGTACGTGTGCGTTGAAATGCTGAAGACGTTAATCATGACAACGGTTTGTGATGTGCGACAAGCGTCGGCTACACGAACAAATAAGTAAAAATTCTTGAAAACTAGTATTTATTTTTTACGTAATTCTTAACAATAGTCAATACCTAAAATAAGATGTAACGAGAAAAAGGAAGACTTTCGTTTGTTCTTAATCACTTAATTAAGAAACTTAACTTGAACGATTCAGAAATATACATTTTTATAATACTATCATATTGAAAGTAGAATTTCATTTTCCAAAAGGTTAAAAAGTATTTACCGAATTATATATTCGATTTTCAAAGATTTTACATCAAATAAATTATTTATTTTACAAAAAATAAAAATGTTCATTATTTTTTAAGAAAGGAGCTACTTATTTCTAAATTTATTACCCTGTACAGATATTACATTACTTATTATCTTGTTTTCTTCTGCACATTTGATACAATGATTATTTACTCAATCGGTCTATGAATAAATTGCCCATTCTTTTTTGATATATAAAATTAACGTTCTATCGAAATTANACCATTCTTTTTTGACATATAAAATTAACGTTCTATCGAAATTAGGATAAAGACTTTTGATTTTTTTTTCACAAAAATTTTTTATTCTATTAAGCATTTGTTGAAAATATTGAGTATCTACCAAAAAAAATGGTGAGTAGTAATTATACATTTCTGTTTTCAATAATATAATAACATATATTTGTTTATGTTATGTCTTTTTATTAAAAATTAATATTTTCAGAGATTACTTTTGGTAGCCATAACATCATTCATCGTCATTTTGATTATACAAGATGGTAATTTAGTCTTTACAATCAAAAAATATTTTTTAATTAAGTTAAAGTAAAATTGGCTAATTTTTTTCTCGATTAAACTGTTAACATACAGAAATATTAAAATATTTTTAATCCACAGACAAAACACTCAAATTTGTATAAACATTAACTCTATACTTATTATTTAGAAGATTTTTTTTACTTCAAATTAAAATAAATTATGTTATTAATTAAAACTATTTAGTTTAATAATAAAAAATAATTAAATGTAGCAAGTTACTTACTTAAGTTACTCAGTTTAATGATAAATAAAAATAAGTATATTTACTAATAATAATTGTTATTGTTAAACGATTATTTAAATAAATATACACTACTTAATTAATTTGGAGAATATTTTTCATAAATAAATGATTTATACAATTATAATACTGTAATTCTATAAATAATTATATAATTTAACATATATTCACAAAAGCTCTTTATGCCATGTACTACTGCAAATAATTTATTTCCAAAATAGAACCAATAACCCCAATCCCAATCCCACCACACCAACAATAAAATAATTAAAAGATAATCACAAAATTATATTTTTTAGCAGTGCATTGTAATAACAGTAACACACGTAAGTCTATACAATTTATTTAAATCAAAGATTGAACATTTATGGTTGAAAAAATATTTCTTTAACTGGTTAAAAACCCTTTGTTTGAGTTATTAAAAAAAAGGAAATTAAACATTGTTTATTATCTCTTTGAATCTAATGGTATTTATCTATTAGAGAGTAATATAAAAAAAAGCTAGACATTACTCATAGTAATCATTTAAATTAGTGATGAGAAATATCGAATAGTAACTATTGAACTAATCGATAGCTGTCCACTATTAGAACTATTCGATAGTGATTCCAAAAATATTCGATAGTTTATGCTAAAAATAAACTATTCGGTTGTGTTTATACAACCGAATAGTTATACGATAGTTTAAAATTAAGTTAAAAAAGTTCTACTTTCTATATTCATAGAACAGAAAATATACACAGCTAGATATAATTAATATTCTAATATAATACTTTATAATTTTAATGGGAATTAAAAAAATGTATATATTTTTTTAGTTAATTTAGTTATATAATAAATTAAACCAAGAATAATTATTCATAATAGTTGTTAATTTAACATTTTAGCTACAAAAGGTGGTAAATCCTTTAAAGGTAAATCTAAAAGATTTATTTAAATCAAAGATTAAACTATTATGATTGTAAAAATATTTTTCTAACTTGCAAAAAACCCCTTAGTTTAATTATTTTTAATGGTGGCGGGCATAGAAATATTCATGAAAATACAATTGGTCACAAAATAATTTTGAAATAATCTATATAGTATTAATAACTAAATAATATAGTATTGTAAATATAATACTTGATGAAAATGTTAGGTAAAAAAAAAAGTTAGTTCCATAATCTATTTTTAACTAATATAATTAAATCAACTTTGAAATTGAATTAAATTATTCTACTGTCGGTCAAATATCAATAATTTGCATTCCTATTCTCGGCATAAAATGCAATTGTTTAAAATTAAAATTTTGGTTTCTAAACTTACTTGTAATGAACACTTTAATTAGATCAGTATGCAAATTTTTATTAGATTTTAGTTTATAATATAATATATATATATATATGATCAGATTTTTATTTACATGTTTAATTTTCAGAATTGAAAAGTAAGTAAAAGTACTCATAAATATGAACAATAACTTGACCTATTTTGAATACTAAATAATATTATTATGAATTATCTCAAATTTTAATTTCTGTTATTAAGAGCATTATAAGTGAAATTAACTCGGGTGACTGTCAATTAAATAATAGTCTGGCACAATTTTCACAACTTTCAGTTTACGGTTGAAAATGAATTTATAAAATTTAGATTTTCAGATATAATCATTATTATTAAAGTTGCTGGAATTTTCTATGTCATAAGTTACTACAGAAAATTATTTGTTGTAATTTTGTATTTCATATTGATTTCTTAATGTTGAATATTTGAAAATATATAATTATAATTACTATTTATCTATTTAAAACTATAACATACTGGTTGAAGATAATACCAATAGGTGGTATGTGTTGAAATATTGTATATATTGATCTAAATGTCATTTAAGCGGAGATTCAAAATATATTTAATGTAAAATTTTTTAGCATTCCAATATCTAGATATGAAATAATATAAACTTTCTAAAATATCACATTTGTTGACTAAACATTAATGGTTTAGGGAAGACGTCCAACAATATTCCCACATATGTATTAAAGTTAAAATTAAAATTTTATTTTTTTAATTAATTTTTGCTTTTGTAATACAGGAAGTTTTAGTACGAAATGTAAGTAGTAAATTTTAAATATCCAAGTAAACAAATATTTTATTATTATTAAATATTAGTATTATAATAATTTTATAATTAGTAGTGACAATTTTTTTTTAATATTTTTAAATTACAGAAATAATTTAATGTTATCAGAATTCTTTTTTTTTTTTGTGTTTTTTTTTTATATACAAACAACATTTAATATTTTTTGCTCATTGTACTTGATTTTTAAAAACTAAGTACTTTACTTAAAAAAATCACACATTTATTGACATATACTCATAGTAATCATTTAAATGAATAACTTGACTTTGTATTTAATTTATTAACTTTGATATCCGTTTTCACTATAAAAACAAAAAAAAGTTTAAATTTGTATTTTTCATATAACATTATTTTACATAAGCTTTAATTCAATATATATATATAAGTGACAGTATATCTGGAACTTTTTTGACAATTAAGTTAAAAAAGTTCTACTTTCTATATTCATAGAACAGAAAATATACACAGCTAGATATAATTAATATTCTAATATAATACTTTATAATTCTAATGGGAATTAAAAAAATGTATATATATTTTTAGTTAATTTAGTTAGATAATAAATTTAACTAAGAATATTTATTATAATAGTTGTTATTTTAACATTTTAGCAGTACAAGGTGGTAAAGCCATTATCGGTAAATTTAATAAATTTATTTAAATCAAAGATTAAACTATTATGATTGTAAAAATATTTTTGTAACTTGTAAAAAACCCCTTGGTTTAATTATTTTTAATGATGGCGGGCATAGAAATATTCTATATTTGAAAATACAATTGGTCACAAAATAATGTTGAAATAATCTATATAGTATTAATAACTAAATAATAAATATAGTATTGTAAATATAATACTTGATGAAAATGTTAGGTAAAAAAAAATTTAGTTCCATAACCTATTTTTAAGTAATTTAACTAAATCAACTTTGAAATTCAATTAAACTATTCTACTGTCGGTCAAATATCAATAATTTGCATTCGTATTCTCGGCTTAAAATGCAATTGTTTAAGTTTAAAATTTTGGTTTCTAAACTTACAAGTAATTAACACTTTAATTAGATCAGTATAAAAATGTTCATTAGATTTTAGTTTACTATAAAACATTCTATTAATGCGTATTAATTATTTGAATCTATTAAAACAGTTATATCAGTACCAACAAGTTTATGAGATCTAAGTTAAATAGAATAACAATAACATTAAATTCAAATTTTTGTTGAGTACATTATTAATTTTTGACTTAGAATTTTATCATTTAGATTTTTTTTTCTTTTGTACTATTCACTGTTAATTAATACTTAATATTTATTCATAATATACTTTTATTTTGCAGAATTTGCGAGTAAGTAAATGTGTTTATAAATAAAAACAAAATAAACACATCTATTCATAACACATATAACTAAATATTAATTTTTGTGTAAATTTTATTTATATATATTTTTTTTTTTTGGTTTATTATAATGATAAGTTGATAAATTCATCTTATTAAATATTTTTAATAATATACTATTGTTCTATGCGAACTGTATCATTTCTATTAAATGTGTTTAAAAAGCTATTTCTACAACATTAGTAATATTATTAGAGCCATTTTCTTACTTCACTCATTATCTGGTCAATTTAATATAAAAAACTGGATATCGCCTATTAACACTAAAATTTATTTTATTTCTGCTTTGCACTTTAAACTGACTCGAAGTTTTGTTACGTGTGACTAAAATAAGAAACACCAAGTTATAATATAGCCAATTAGCGGTTTGAAATAACTAACGGTAAACATTGATGTACATGTCGTATAACTGGCGTTACAATGTATTTTATGTTATAATAATTGAAATGTAAGTATTTTAACTTGGATTTAATTAAAGAACTTCCTAGAATATGACAACTAGACTCTTAAAGATTCGAGAGAGACACAATATTCCTATACTCGCCAGACATGTATACGTCAAAATTCAAATAATAATTTTTTTTTTATCAATTTTGTATTTTTCCTTTTATATTACAGGAAATTTAAGTTTGGAACGTAAGTATTAAATCTTAAATATTCAAGAATACAAATATTTTAATAATATTAAATACTAATATTATAGATCCTAGTCACAATTTTTTTAAATCTAAATATTTCTCTTAATAAAACACTATTTTCACAAATTATTATATCAATATACTAAAATAATAGAAAATAGGTGAATAATCTCACTCACGTTGACATAGCCAAAAATAGAAAAAATATGTTGAAGCTAATAATATATTTTTATATTTTTCTCCACCCTAGATATATTTTATATATATAATTCATACAGTTTTCTAAATTTTTGGGAAACAAAGCCCTACTAAGTTTTCACCTTTAGACTTCAGATAAACGTCAATATTGATTTTCCTCATATTTATGTTTATGTTTGTGAATACATTTAAAATATTGAAGTTAAATTTTTTTTTTTTATTGATTAACTAATATTTTCTATCACAAATAGGAAACAAAGAGAAAAGTGAGTATATTTTGAATATTGAACATAATTTCCACCTTTTTTATAAGACATAGTATGAATATAATAAAAAAAAGAAAATATATGAATATTTTGGCACACATTGACTGGCAAAAATTGAAAAAAAAGAAATGTTAATGGGCTATTAATATATTTTTTATTTTCCTCCAACATAAAACATGTTTTCGTATATATTGTAGCGACCAAAACATACGCAACGAATATTCTCGAATGTTCTCGTTATCAAAAACCTTCGAGAAACTTCGATAACGCCATAAGATAACCTACGCGGGTATAGAATATTCTAGAATTAGCGAGAGCCTTATCGGAGCTATATATATATCGGAAGAATCAGTCAGTTCNGACACCATTTGGACTTTACGAATTCCTCTTTATGTCTTTTGGACTTCGAAACGCAGCACAATCGTTCCAACGATTTATTGACGAAGTACTCCGTGGACTTGATTTTTGTTTCAGTTACATTGACGACATACTCGTGGCATCTGTTTCTGAAGAAGAACACATCAAACATTTACAGATCATTTTTGAGCGACTACGCGAATACTCTCTGGTTCTCAATCCTAAAAAATGCGTTTTTGGACAACCAGAAGTAAAGTTTTTGGGCTACATGATTTCTAAAGAAGATTGGTGACCTCGACGTGATAGAGTCGCTGACATATTGAGCTACAAGAGGCCAACGTCAGCTAAGGGTCTACGACAGTTCTTAGGTATGTTAAACTTCTATCGTCGTTTTATACCTAGAGCTTCAGATGCACAATCACCACTAAGTGATCTCTTAGTACCTAATCTAAAAGGTAAAGCACCTATTAATTGGACACCAGAAGCAATTTCAGCGTTCGAGAAATGCAAGGAGGAACTCGCCACAGCCACGCTTCTCGCGCACCCATGTGACAACGCTCGACTGGCTATTGTAAGCGACGCTTCAAACACAGCGGTTGGCGCAACTCTCCAACAGTTCATCAATGACGAGTGGCAACCCCTCGCCTTCTTTTCCAAGAAACTCACGGCGACTGAGACAAAATACGGAGCTTACGATCGAGAACTTCTTGCGATCTATCTCGCTGTCAAACATTTTCGGCATATGGTGGAAGGACGCGAGTTTGTTATATACACCGATCACAAACCTATCACTTTCGCATTTCAACAGAAATCGGATAAGTGCACACCACGACAATTCAGACACTTGGACTTTATTTCACAATTCACCACGGATATTAGGTACGTTCCTGGTAAACAGAATATCGTGGCTGATACCCTATCACGCGTGGACGCATTATCAGACACGTTAGACTACACTGCTTTAGCAATGTCACAACAGGGAGACGACGAATTGAAAAAGTATGCACAAGAAAACACCGGATTGCGACTTAAGCAAGTGGAATTACCAGGCACGAATGTCTTAGTGTTCTGCGACACATCAACTTCAATCGCCAGACCTTTTGTTACAAAGCCTTTTCGACGAACAGTTTTCAATACCATACATCGCCTTGCACATCCAGGAGTTAAAGCCACAGTGAAGCTTGTAAAACAGCGGTTTGTGTGGCCAGGAATTGACGCAGATTGCAGACATTGGGCACGGGCATGTGTCGAATGTCAACGAGCCAAAATCACGCGACATGTCACAGCACCCCTTGGGTCATTTTCTCTACCGTCTCGAAGATTTGAGCATGTTCATTTAGATTTAATAATTATGCCTTATTCCGAAGGATTTCGTTACTGCCTCACGTGCATCGATAGATTTACTCGATGGCCTGAAGTAGTTCCATTGGAAAATCAAGAAGCGGAAACTGTAGCACGAGCCTTCTATACACATTGGATTGCAAGATTTGGTACCCCTCTTCGTATCACAACAGATCAAGGAAGACAATTCGAGTCATGCCTTTTCAAGCAACTTAATTACCTGACTGGTACGAACCATCTTAGAACTACGGCCTATCATCCTTCAGCAAATGGCATGGTGGAACGATCCCATCGGCAGCTTAAAGCCGCTATTAAATGTCATCAGAATAATCGATGGACAGAAACTCTTCCGACAGTCTTATTGGGTATCCGAGCAGCTTGGCGTGACGATCTTAAATCCACCTCGGCAGAATTAGTCTATGGAGAGCCACTTAGACTCCCTGGTGAATTCCTCACGTCAAATAATAATACCGCCAAGTGCGACGACGCAGCTGAGTTTATCAAAGACCTTCGACATCACATTCAGCAGATCCGACCAGTCAATGGTACACGACATGGCGAGAAGAAAAATTTCGTTTTCAAGGATCTAGCAACCACAGAGTACGTATTCATTCGACATGATGGGCCCAAAAACGGAATTCAAATGCCCTATGATGGTCCCTATCGAGTCATAAGTAGGAACGAAAAAACTTTTGTTATTGATATTAATAAGAAGAAAGTTACAGTTACTATAGATAGACTTAAACCAGCATACATCATGGCAGATGAATACTCTAAGGAAAATATTCCGAAAAAGATCCAGACACATACACCCATTACCATTCCCAGGGAGGATCAAAGGACACGTTCCGGAAGAAGAGTCCATTTTCCAGACCGTCTTCAAGTAGGCTCCGCTTGACTCCGTCACTGGTAGGGGAGTGATGTAGCGACCAAAACATACGCAACGAATATTCTCGAATGTTCTCGTTATCAAAAACCTTCGAGAAACTTCGATAACGCCATAAGATAACCTACGCGGGTATAGAATATTCTAGAATTAGCGAGAGCCTTATCGGAGCTATATATATATCGGAAGAATCAGTCAGTTCNAATGGCATGGTGGAACGATCCCATCGGCAGCTTAAAGCCGCTATTAAATGTCATCAGAATAATCGATGGACAGAAACTCTTCCGACAGTCTTATTGGGTATCCGAGCAGCTTGGCGTGACGATCTTAAATCCACCTCGGCAGAATTAGTCTATGGAGAGCCACTTAGACTCCCTGGTGAATTCCTCACGTCAAATAATAATACCGCCAAGTGCGACGACGCAGCTGAGTTTATCAAAGACCTTCGACATCACATTCAGCAGATCCGACCAGTCAATGGTACACGACATGGCGAGAAGAAAAATTTCGTTTTCAAGGATCTAGCAACCACAGAGTACGTATTCATTCGACATGATGGGCCCAAAAACGGAATTCAAATGCCCTATGATGGTCCCTATCGAGTCATAAGTAGGAACGAAAAAACTTTTGTTATTGATATTAATAAGAAGAAAGTTACAGTTACTATAGATAGACTTAAACCAGCATACATCATGGCAGATGAATACTCTAAGGAAAATATTCCGAAAAAGATCCAGACACATACACCCATTACCATTCCCAGGGAGGATCAAAGGACACGTTCCGGAAGAAGAGTCCATTTTCCAGACCGTCTTCAAGTAGGCTCCGCTTGACTCCGTCACTGGTAGGGGAGTGATGTAGCGACCAAAACATACGCAACGAATATTCTCGAATGTTCTCGTTATCAAAAACCTTCGAGAAACTTCGATAACGCCATAAGATAACCTACGCGGGTATAGAATATTCTAGAATTAGCGAGAGCCTTATCGGAGCTATATATATATCGGAAGAATCAGTCAGTTCAGTTAGTTCAGTTCAGACTGTCTAGTCCGCGATACGCTACACGACCGCTACACCCCGCCGCTGTTGTCATCGTGTATTATGTTTACTTCGATTATTTTATTTTTCCTTACTGTATATACATATATTTTCTTTTAGTGTTTATACGTCTATTTTAGTGTTATAATTTTGTTTAATAAAAGTCTACCGCCTTTTAAATAATTGTGTGTTGTAAGATATAACCCACAATATTTTATAAAATTTTCAGGAACTAAATTCCACAAAGCATTTATTAATTTATGACGAAAGAAGGTAAATAGTTACTTTCGTCGAGCTATGCAATAAAAATTAACACTTTTAAAACTTTGAAGATGATTAATTTATTTTTATGGATTCATTAGTATATTCTTTCATAAATAGGAGGAGAAAGGGAAAATGTGCATGATATTTTGTATATTTAAGCAAACAAATATATAAATGGTATTAAATATATTAATTATAATAATTTTATAGTTCCTAGCAACTATTTTTTTTCAATCTTTTAATATTTCACTTAATAAAACACAATTTTTACTTATTGCATAATTAATAATACTGGAAACATTTACAAGCGTAAATTTATCTTATTTAATACTTCATAATAAAATTGTTCATATATATTAAAAGCATAAATTTTATTACATTATATTATTAAAAGATACAATTGATGAAAATTAATAAATGAAACTAATAAAACTAATAAAGGTATAGTATCAATATAATAAAAAAAAGAAAATATATGAATATTTTGGCACACATTGACTGGCAAAAATTAAAAAAAAAATGTTGATGGGCTATTAATATATTTTAATTTTCCTCCAACATAAAACATGTTTTTGTATTATAAGTATTAATTTAATTAATACTACATAAAAAATTATTAATAAATATTAAAAACACAAATTTTATTATATAATAAATACACATATTATTAAAAGATAGAATCAATGAAAACACATAAATCTTTCTATATTTTGATATTTTTTCTAGTCATGTAAACTTTCATCAGTTTATAATCCTTTTTATTAAAATTTCCAGCAGTCTTCAGCAATGAGTTTATTATTTTTAAATAAAAAATTTAATTTATTTTGTTATTTTAATAGTCTTTCCAACTATTGTAAAAATAATCGATTTTAGATTTTCTTTTTTGTCTTTTTTTTTTTACCGTAAATTTTCAATCAACCAATTATTGAATTGTATTTTGCTAGATGGTTTAAATTATTATTACTGGTAAAATATGAAAATTGAGGAATCCAGTCAGTAAAGAAAAATTCTTTATTTCGATTTGTTACATAATAATTATTTTTTAAATGATTTAAAACATTTTCTAACGGTTTGCATATTTTTCTTTTA